ACAGTAGGACTGGCAGCACGAAGAGAGTCCGACTCCGGGTCGGCAAGCGCAGGAAGAGAGGACTCAGGAGGAGAAGGCAAAGGGGCACGCAGAGGAGCAGTGGACGGACGCAGAGACATCCGGTGCGTGCCAGGGACAGGAGGAGGACGCTGACGCGAACCGCGACCACTAGCGCGAGCAGCACGAACAGGAGACGTAGGACGAGACGCAGGCTCAGGACGCTCAGCAAGACCTCCAGTAGGACCAGTGTAGGGAGAAGGAGCAGGCAGAGGGGAGGCACGCTCTAACTGTGACTGGGACTGGACAGGCAGTGGACACTCTACAGGAGGAGAAGAGCCAAGAACCTGCTGCAGGAGCGGAACGAAGTACGCCCGAGGCCACGCGGCAACTCCCGACATAGCAGGGACAGCACCAGCACCCTAAGCCGCAGCACCAGCGCCAACAGCACCTCCAGCCGCTGAACCTCGAGCAGTACCAGCAGCAGGACCACCGCCAGGACGGACAGCAGTAGCCTCAGCACCAACACCCTCAGCAGCTCCAGCTCCAGGCAGACCCGCAGCCCCAGCAGCTCCGGGACCGGCGGCACTAGCACCCTCAGAAGCCGAAGAAGCTCCAGCTCCAGCAGTACGCCTCCTGCGGCGAGCAAACCACTGGCGCAGCTCCTGTGGAGAGAGGGGCTCCTGCCGAGACGAGGCACCCGGAGAACCTCCAGGCCCAGCACCTCCAGACGCCACAAGGGGAGGTCCAGCGGCCGCAGGCTCCGCACCTCCACGCTCACTAGCTCCAGACGCAGCACCCCCAGGCTCAGCAGCTCCCGACGTAGCACCCCCAGGCTCAGCACCCCCAGTCGTAGTACCCCCAGGCTCAGCACCCCCAGGCTCAGCACCCACACGCGCAGCACCCCCAGAGTCAGCACCCCCAGGCCCAGCACCCACACGCGCAGCACCCCCAGAGTCAGCACCCCCAGGCTCAGCACCCGCAGCAGTACCAGAGTCACCACCACACCTCGACCAGCTTGACTGCGTCTACCTGGGACACACCTGAAGGGGCTCGACCCTGGCACAAGGAAGTGCGGTGGCGGGGGGAGGGAAGGAGTGCGGTAGGGGAAGAGGCGGTAGAAGGGGACGGACTCGTCAAACGTGACGTCCTGGGAGGACAGAACACGACGAGAAGAGGGGTGGTAAAACTACAACCCTGGTGCGTCAGGGGGGAAGCCAAGGAAGACACAGGGAGCAGCACGAGGGGACAGCTTGTCCGCAGACAAGTCGCGGACAAACGCCCGAGATCCCCAGACACGGAACGCAGACGCATCGCCGACCTTCCCCGTCCACAGCAGAGCTGGGGAGGTCTCCGGCCGGGAGACCCTGGGGTGAAGGTTGATCTGATGCGCCGCGTACTGAACTGCAAACAGCCACAGAAAATGGGGGGCAGCCGCATGCATCATGGACGTACGAGCGACGTCCATGACCATGCCAATGCGGCGCTCAGCAATCCCATTTTGCTGTGGAGAATCCGGAAGCGTAAAGGTCTGGCGGATGCCTCGCGCACGACAGTAGGCTCGCAGAAGGCCAGAGGAGAACTCTCCGCATCGGTCAGAGTGCAGACGTAGAACAGGAAAGTCTGAGCCGAAGCTCCTCCTGAGCTGGAGACGAGCTGCGCGGATCCAGTCGATCAACACCTCAGTGACATCACCCTTGCTGCGCAAGGGGAAGACTGTGGTGTAACGCGAGTAGTCGTCAACCACGAGCAGGAAGTAGCGCTCGTGACCCTGTCCACGCACGCGGGCTGGGCCCCATACGTCCATGTGAAGCGTCTGCAGCGGGGCCTCTGTCGGGGGAAACTGAGAGGAGTGCGGGGCAGCCCGGAGCCGCCCCTCGACACAAGAGACACAGGAAGGACCAGGTCCCGAAGGAAGGGGAGGGAGGGACTGAGGAAGACCAGAGAGAAGGACACGAGAAGCCATGCCTCGGAGACGAGGTAGGGAGGGGTGGCCAAGACGGTGGTGCCACAGGAGAGTCTCGTGAGACAGGAGGCGACACGAGCAGGGGGCAGACTCAGGACCAGACCTGGACGCAGCAGCAAACACCAGACCCGACGCAGCTACCTGGCCAGACGCAGTGACAGGAGGAGACTCAGTGGTCAGGGTGTAGAGACTCGACCCCAGCCGACGCGAAAACGTGGCCAGGTGTCGGCCTGTGCGGGCGTCCGAGCAGTGGGTCACCTGCTGACTCTCAGGAGTAAACTGGTGAACCCCCGCATCCTGTAGGTCAGCACCGCTCACCAAGTTCGTCGAGAACGAGGGGAGGTAAAGACCAGACAAGGTGCCCGAGGGGGCATCCGGACACGGGAGGACGGTGGAGAAGTGAGAGAGGACAGGGCCCCCAGAGGGGTGAGCCAGGGAGACTGCAACCGGCCGACCAAGCGGCGTGAGTGTGGTGCGGTCTCGAAAGAAGGAGTGAGAAGCCCCCGAGTCAAGTGTGAAGGTGAGGGAGGCCGAAGCCGACGCGGTACCTGAGAGCGCAGCCTCACCAGTACTTGAGGGCGCAGACGTGCTGGCACCTAGAGGAGCAGCCTCAGAAGCACCTAGCGCAGCAGTACCAATGCCCGGGTCGGGCGGGAAACACCGGTAACAGTCACCCTCATCACTAATAGTCACAGCATACATGGCAGCAAGGATAGCATCAAAATCAAGATCAAAGATAGCTACACCTGCCCGAGACAGCTCTCCCCAGCGGGGAATCTCACTAGCCTCGTGGAACTGCTGACGCCAAGCGTCCGTCAGGCGGCCAAAGCAGCGCTGAGTGGGGTGGGCACCCCCACACTGCTCACCCGCGCGGTCGCCAGCGCGAAAGACGTAGGTGCACGGACCAAAACCCCCACCACGCTGACGCTGCGTGTACCACTCACGGAGCTGCTGAGGAGGGGGGATGTCCCGAGAACGTTGCTGCTGCTGCTGCTGCTGCTGCTGGCGCTGACCACCACCAGAGCCGCTCCGCTACGAGGCACCACCCCGACCAGCTCCACCTCCTCCGCCACCGCCGCCTCCACCTCCGCCACCACCTCCGCCTCCGCTCCCACCACTACCGCCGCCGCCGCCTCCGCCTCCGCCTCCGCTGCCGCCACCACCACCACCACCCCCGCCACCACTCCCACCGCCACCCCCACTCCCTCCGCCGCCTCCACCGCCACCTCCACCACCCCCGCTAGCTCCACCCGCGCCCTTGCCCCCCTTGCCCTTGCCAGGGTGGCGTCTCCCGCTAGGGGCAGACACCGCACCGACCGACTCAAGACCATGTAGATCGGCCGCAGCAGCAGAGGCGACAGAGGGCAACCGGGGGGAAGGGGAACACCCCTCATAGATGGGGGTGCGAGGGTCACCACGAGAGGCTCCTACAGTGACTATGCTCTTCTCCGCTGCTAGGAGGGCCTTCTCTAGGAGGTCAACAGTGAGAGTGGTGGGACAGACCGAGAGGAAGTGGTCCCTGACTACGCGAAGGGAGTCAGGGAGGCGGGTGACTATGTAATAGAGAGTGATGTACATGGGGGGGGGTTTCTTGGCGCAGAACTCAGCTGGAAGCGCGGCGCGGTAGCGAGTGTCACTAGTGCGGAGGTGCGTAATGAGGTTAGCGACAGTGGGAAAGGCAGCAAGGTCAGGGAAGAGGTACGGTAGCATGAGGCGGCTCAGTGCAGTAGTGGCAGGGGAAGAGTAGCGCGCAACTAAAGCGTTGTACAAGGTCTGAGCACTCTTGTACTGACTAAAGTGCGCGCGCTCAGTGGTAGGCAGGTGGCGACGCACAGCAAGACGTGCAGCAGCATCGCGGGTGGCCCACTGGGAGCGAACAGTGGGTCAGCATCAGCAGCAGGGGCAGGAGAGGCGCCAGAGGTGAGGTCAAAGAGAGAGAGACCGTCCGCCCTATCGCACTGTAAGAACAGCTGCAGGTCGTCGACTCAGACCTCAAAGTCAATGGCTCGACCCTCTGCGTCAAAAGCTAGGACACTAGGGGTAGCCATGACTACAGTAGACTAGCAGTGCAAGCAGTAGGGGAAGGGCACGCAGTGACAGAGGGGCTGTGCTCACCGGACAGGTCTGCTCGGGCGGCTCGGCTGTAGGGCGGCTCGGCGGGTCGGCGGCTCGGCGGCTTGGCTGCTGGGCGGCTCGGCTGCACGGCGGCTCGGCTGGTGGGCGGCCGGGCGGCTCGGCTGCACTGCGGCTCGGCGGCAGGGCGGCTCGGTTGTGCTGCTGCAGGGCGGCGCGGCGGTCGGCGGCTCGGGCATGCTGCGGCAGGGCGGCACGGCGGTCGGCGGCTCGGGCGGCGCTGCAGGAGCTGAGAGCGGCGGGGCCGCGAAGTAGGGCGGCGGGGCCGAAGCAGACGAGCGGCGGGGTCGCTAGAGTAGGGCGGCGGGGCCGCTGGAGTAGGGCGGCGGGGCCGCTGGAGTAGGGCGGCGGGGCCGCTGGAGTAGGGCGGCGGGGCCGCTGGAGTAGGGCGGCGGGGCCGCTGCAGTAGGGCGGCGGGGCCGCTAAGCAGGCCGGCGGGGCCGCGGGAGTAGGGCAGCGGGGCCGCGAGAGCAGGGCGGCGGGGCCGCTGAGTAGGGCGGCGGGGCCGCTAGGGCGGCGGGGCCGCAGAAGTAGGGCGGCGGGGCCACCGAGTGAGGCGGCGGGTGTGAAACAAATGAGAAGAGGAATGAAATGACTAAGTCAGAAATTGGTACAAATAACAAACCCTAGGAATCTGTACCCCATATGTGCTACCCCACTACAGCCTACAAACATGTATCAGCTATAATGTTCTGACACACCCCCATAGGCAAAGTGGGGGAGAACAAGGGGTCACAAGACCAGTCAAGCAAAGCAAAGCAAGCTCAGGGTGGATCACAAAGTCACCACACAGTCCGAGCACAAGAGCAGGGCCAGAGGCCAGTTCACATGCAGGAGTACAGACATATATATATTACTAGACAAGCAAGAGCAGGTATATATATAGATCACAGTACAAGTGAAGTCAGGAAGAGAGCAAGTGAGGCAAGACAGGCACAAGACCCAGCTGGGTACAGAAGCGCTGATGGTCACAAGGCGCGAGCGCCTTGGTGAACACATCAGCAGTGTTGGCCTCAGAGGCCACGTACGCAAGTCGCAGCTGACCACGCTGCTGCAGCTCACGAGCAAGGAAGTAGCGGAGAGCAATGTGCTTCGTTCTGTGCTCCAGACGCTGCTCTCGACACAAGGCCAGCATGGCCTTGTTGTCTACGTACAGCACTGGAGGAGAACGAGGCGGCTCTCCAAGGTCAGTCAGCAGGTAGGTGAGCCAGCGAAGCTCCTGTGCAGCCATGGCCCCGGCGTAGATCTCAGCCTCACAACTGGAGCCGAGAACCGAAGACGAGCGAGTAGACCGCCACGAGACAGAGCCGGAACCAAGACTGAAGGTGTAACCCTGTGACGACCGCTGCGTAGCCTGGTCGTCAGCCCAAGAAGCGTCCGCGTGGCCCGTAAGGACCACTGGACTCCGCCCTCCAAGCACTAGCCCCATGCCCGACGTACTGCACAGGTAGCGCAATACCCTCTTCGCTGCAGCCATGTGCTCAGGTCGGTGTCTCCCAGGAGCAACATAGCGTGCAAGGATGCTCAGAGGGTATGCAAGGTCAGGTCGTGTGCAGGTCATCAGGTACATGAGGCAGCCAACTAGCTCTGCATACGGGCCACTCGACTCTACGGACTCATCCGAAGGCAGAGCTGAGAGCGAGTGGCGAGTAGGCAGAGGAGTGGCCTGAGGCGAGGAGTACGTGAAGCCGAAGCGCTGAAGGACCTGCTGCACCATGTGTGACTGAGTCAGGGTAATGGTGCGGCGTGCTCTGTCCCGAGTGATCTGCAAGCCAAGGTAGCTGCGCAGTTCACCCAGGTCTGTGCACGTGTGTCTCTTCAGCAGCTCGGACTTCACGTAGGCGAGTCCAGCAGTGTCCGCTGTGGCAAAGACCAAGTCGTCGACGTACACGAGGATGTAGAACGGCGGCAAGGAAGTGTCGGTGCGAAGAAACAGCGACGGGTCAGCAGTGGAAGGAGCAAACCCAAGAGCCGCAAGCGTAGTCCTCAGTGTGTCGTGCCACTCACGCGGTGCCTGGCGGAGACCGTAGACTGGCCGTCGGAGGCTCCACTGGGTGCCAGGAGGGAAAGTCCCAGTGAAGCCAGGCGGACGGCGCAGCCAGATCTCCTCGTGCAGGCTACCCTGCAGGAACGCAGTGCTGAAGTCGAGAGAGTGAAGCTCGTAGTCGCGCTGAGCGGCAACGTGCAGCAGCACCCGAAGAGTAGTCATCTTCGGGGTGGGAGAGAAGGTCTGAAAGTAGTCAACTCCCTGCCGCTGACTGAAGCCACGAGCGACGTAACGCGCCTTGAAGACAGGCGGAGAGCCCGGCGGCCGCTTCACCCTGAAGATCCACATGCCACTGACGATGTTCGCCCCAGGAGGGGGAACTGCGTCAACGTAGGTGCCTGTGGACTTCCAGGAAGCCATCTCTGCATCCATAGCTGCCTGCCACTGAGAGGAGTAGGGACCCTCTACAGCCTCCGCGTAAGAACGCGGAGTCGGGATGTCTAGTGCATCCGGGTCTCCCTCAGGGGCAAGCAGTACAGACGCGAGATGAGGTGAAGCAGCCGCTAGACACTGTAACTCCTCCTGCCTGTCCTCTAGGACGTCCGTGCCAAGAGCACACTCACCCCCGACGGACGGAGGACAGACAGACGCAGACTCAGCAACAAGACTAGCAGCGTAGTCTAAGCGACAGCGAGCAGCAAAGTCGACAAGCTCAGTGAGTAGGGCAGACGCAGCAGAAGACTCGAAAGAAGGGTCAGTGACCACAGTAGCAAGGAAACGCGTGACAGTAGGACTGGCAGCACGCAGAGAGTCCGACGCAGGGTCGGCAAGCGCAGGAAGAGAGGACGCAGGAGGAGAAGGCAAAGGGGCACGCAGAGGAGCAGTGGACGGACGCAAAGACATCTGGTGCGTGCCAGGGACAGGAGGAGGACGCTGACGCGAACCGCGACCTGTAGCGCGAGCAGGACGAACAGGCGACGCAGGACGAGACGCAGGCTCACGACGCTCAGCAAGACCTCCAGTAGGACCAGTGTAAGGAGAGGGAGCAGGTAGCGGAGAGGAAGGCTCCAGCAGGGACTGCGACTGGACAGGCGGTGGACCCTCTACCGGAGGAGAAAGACCAAGAACCTGCTGCAGCAGCGGAACGAAGTACGGTCGAGGCCGCTCAGCAGCTCCAGGCGCAGCAGGGACAGCTCCAGCACCCTCAGCGACAGCACCAGGGCCACCAACTCCTCCAGCAGCAGGACCAACAGCAGCAGTCTCAGCACCAACACCCTCAGCAGCGCCAGCTCCAAGAGGACCCGCAGGCCCAGCAGCTCCGGGACCGGCAGCACCAGCACCCTCGTCAGTCGAAGAAGGTCCAGCTCCAGTTCCAGCAGCACCCCCAGACTCAGCAGCACGCCTCCAACGACGAGCGAACCACTCGCGCAGCTCCAGTGGAGAGAGAGGCTCCCGGGGAGGCTGAGCAGCAGGAGAAACCCCAGGCGTAGTAGCTCCAGACGCAGCACCCCCAGGCTCTGCAGCTCCAGACACAGCACCCCCAGGCGCAGCAGCTCCCAACTCAGCACCCCCAGGCTCAGCAGCTCCCGACTCAGCACACCCAGACCCAGCACCTCCAGTGACAGCACCCCCCGGCGCAGCACTCCTAGGCTCCGCACCCTCCGCACTAGCACCCCCAGGCTCAGGACCCCCAGCAGCAGCTCCTCCAGGCTCAGCACCCCGGCGGACAGCACCCCCAGAGTCAGCACCCCCAGGCTCAGCACCCGCAGCAGCACCAGAGTCACCAGTAACCTCGACCGGGTCAACGGCGTCTACCTGGGACACACCTGAGGGAGCAGGAACCTGAGGGGGAAGGGGGTCTACCGGGGGGGGAACCGGCACAAGGAAGTCCGGGGGAGGGGGGAGAGAAGGGGTGCGGTAGGGGAAGAGACGGTAGAAGGGGACCGACTCGTCGAACGTGACGTCCTGGGAGGACAGAACACGACGAGAGGAGGGGTGGTAGAACTGCCACCCTGGGGCGTCAGTGGGGAAGCCAAGGAAGACACAGGGAGCAGCACGAGGGGACAGCTTGTCCGCAGACAAGTCGCGGACAAACGCCCGAGATCCCCAGACACGAAACACAGACGCATCGCCAACCTTCCCCGTCCACAGCAAGGCTGGGGACATCGCAGGCCTAGAGACCCGCGGGTGAAGGTTGAGCTGATGCGCCGCGTACCTCACCGCAAACGGCCACAGAAAATGGGGGGCAGCCGCATGCATCATGGACGTACGAGCGACATCCATGACCATGCCAATGCGGCGCTCAGCAATCCCATTTTGCTGTGGTGAGTCCGGAAGCGTGAAGGTCTGGCGGATCCCCCGTGCACGACAGTAGTCTCGCAGAAGGCGAGAGGAGAACTCTCCGCCTCTGTCCGAGTGCAGACGCAGAACAGGAAAGTCAGAGCCGAAGCTCTTCCTGAGCTGGAGACGAGCCTCGCGGATCCAGTCGATCAGCACCTCAGTGACAGCACCCTTGCTGCGCAAGGGGAGGACTGTGGTGTAACGCGAGTAGTCGTCAACCACCAACAGGAAGTAGCGCTCGTGACCCTGCCCACGGACGGGGGCCGGGCCCCACACATCCATGTGAAGCGTCTGCAGCGGAGCCTCTGTCGGGGGGAAGTGGGAAGAGTGAGGAGTAGCCCGGAGGCGACCCTCGACACAGGGGATACAGGAAGGCCCTGGCCCGGGGGGGGGAGAAGGGAGAGACCGGGGAAGACCAGAGACAAGGACACGGGAAGCCATGCTCCGAAGACGAGCCAAGGAGGGGTGGCCTAGACGGTGGTGCCACAGGAGAGTCTCGTGAGACAGGAGGCGACAGGAACAGGGGGCAGACTCAGGACCTGACCGGGACGCAGCAGCAAACACCTGACCTGACGCAGCTACCTGACCAGACACAGGGACAGGAGGAGACGAAGTGGTCAGGGTGTAGAGACTCGACCCCGGCCGACGCGAAAAGGTGGCCAGGTGTCGGCCTGTGTCTGCGTCCGTGCAGTGGGTCACCCGCCGCCTCGCAGGAGTGAACTGGTGAACCCCCGCATCCTGTAGGTCCGCACCACTCACCAAGTTCGTAGAGAACGAGGGAAGGTACAGACCAGACAGGGTGCCCGAAGGGGCAGCCGGACACGGGAGGACAGTGGAGAAGTGAGACAGGACAGGACCCCCAGAGGGGTCAGCAAGGGAGACCGCAACCGGTCGGCCAAGTGGCGTGAGGGTAGTGCGGTCTCGAAAGAAGGAGCGAGAAGCCCCAGAGTCAAGTGTGAAAGTGAGGGAGGACGAGGGCGACGTAGTACCTGAGAGCGCAGTCTCACCAGCACCTGAGAGCGCTGTCTCACTAGTACCTTAGAGCGCAGACGCACTGGCACCTAGAGCAGCAGCCTCACAAGTACCTAGGGCAGCAGTACCAATGCCCGGGTCGGGCTGGAAACACCGGTAACCCTCATTCTCCTCACTATAAGTCACAGCATACATAGCAGAAAGGATAGCATCAAAATCAAGATCAAAGATCGCTACACCAGCCCTAAGGAGCTCATCCCAGCGAGGGATCTCACTAGCCCCGGGGAACTGCTGACGCCAAGCGTCCGTCAGGCGGCCAAAGCAGCGCTGGGTGGAGTGGGCACCCCCACACTGCTCACCCGCGCGGTCGCCGGAACGAAGAACGTAGGCGCAGGGACCAGTACCCCCACCCCTCTGACGCGCAGTGTACCACTCACGAAGCTGCTGAGGCGGAGGGATGTCCCGCGAACGCTGCTGCTGCTGCCGCTGCAAGCGCTGGCCACCACCACCGCCGCTCCGCTGCTGGGTACCACCACGACCAGTTCCACCTCCTCCACCACCACCGCCTCCTCCGCCGCCGCCTCCACCGCCTCCACCTCCACCGCCTCCACCTCCACCGCCTCCACTCCCGCTGCTGCCTCCACCACCACCGGTGCCACCACCACCACCGTCTCCGCCGCTGCTGCCACCACCACCACCACCACTACCACTACTCCCGCCGCCACCCCCACTCCCTCCGCCGCCTCCGCCGCCACCGCCACCGCCCCCTCCAGCTCCGCCCGCGCCCTTGCCCCCCTTGCCCTTGCCAGAGCGACGTCTCCCACTAGGGGCAGACGCCGCGCCGACCGACTCAAGACCAAGCAGGTCGGCCGCAGCAGCAGAGGCAACAGAGGGCAGCAAGGGGGAAGGAGAGCACCCCTCAAAGATGGGGGTGCGAGGGTCACCACGAGAGGCACCGACAGCGACTATGCTCTTCTCCGCTGCGAGGAGGGCCTTCTCGAGGAGGTCGACGGTGAGAGTGGTGGGACAGACTGCGAGAAAGTGGTCCCTGACTACGCGGAGGGAGTCAGGGAGGCGTGCGACTACGTAGTAGAGAGTGATGTACATGGGGGGGGGGTTCTTAGCGCAGAACTCAGAAGGAAGGGCGGCGCGGTAGCGAGTGTCACTAGTGCGGAGGTGCGTAATGAGGTCAGCGACAGTGGGAAAGGCAGAGAGGTCAGGAAAGAGGTAGGGAAGCATGAGACGGCTCAGTGCAGCAGTGGCAGGAGAGGAGTAGCGTGCAACTACAGCGTCGTACAAGGTCTGAGCACTCTTGTACTGACTAAAATGCGCACGCTCAGAGGTAGGGAGGTGGCGACGCACAGCAAGACGTGCAGCAGCATCGCGGGTGGCCCACTGAGAGCGGACAGTGGGATCAGCATCGACAGCAGGAGCAGGAGAGGCGCCAGAGGTGAGGTCAAAGAGAGAAAGGTTGTCAGCTCTGTCGCACTGTAAGAAAAGCTGCAGGTCATCTAGCCAGACCTCAAAATCAATGGCGCGACCCTCGGCGTCAAAGGCTAGGACACTAGGGGTGGCCATGATGACGACAGCGAAGCAGTGCAAGCAGTAGGGAAAGAGGGCGCAGTGACAGAGGGACTGTGCTCACCAGGCAGGGCAGGCCGTGCAGCTCGACAGAAAAGCAGAGCGGCGACCGGGCGGCTCGGGTGTACAGCTGCTCAGCTCCCGGGCGGCTCGGCGGCAGGGCGGCTCGGGTGCAGGGCGGCTCGGCTCCCGGGCGGCTCGGCGACGGACGGCTCGGGTGCAGGGCGACTCGGCTCCCGGGCGGCTCGGCTCCCGGGCGGCTCGGGTGCAGGGCGACTCGGCTCCCGGGCGGCTCGGCGACTGGGCGGCTCGGCTGCCCGGCCGCCCGACAGCTGCAGGTGAGGCGGCGGGGTCGCGTAAGAGGACCGGGGCGGGTCCGCGAAGGGGCCGGTGGTAGGGCCGCGTAGGAGCCGGCGGCAGGGTCGGCGGTAGGGCCGGCTTAGGAGCCGGGGCAGGGCCGCGTTGGAGCCGGCGGCAGGGCCGCGCAGGGGTCGGCGCAGGGCCGAGCAGAGGCCGGCGGCAGGGCCGCGTAAGGAGCCGGCGGACAGGGCCGTGAAGGAGCCGGGACGGGGCCGCGTGAGAGCCGGCGCGGGGCCGAGTAGGAGCCGGCGGCGGGGCCGCGTAGGAGGCCGGCGCGGGGCCGCGTAAGGGGTCGGCGCGGGGCCGCGTAAGGGGCCGGCGGCTGGGCCGCGTAAGGGGCCGGCGCGGGGCCGCGTAAGGGGCCGCGTAAGGGGCCGGCGCGGGGCCGCGTAGGGGGCCGGCGGCTGGGCCGCGAAAGGGGCCGGCGGACAGGGCCGCGTAGGAGCCGGGGACGGGGCCGCGTAGGAGCCGGCGCGGGGCCGCTTAGGAGCCGGCGCGGGGCCGCGTAAGGGCCGCGGAAGGGGGGCCGACGCGGGGCCGCGTAAGGAGCAGGCGGCGGGGCCGCGTAAGGGTCAGGGCGGGGCCGCGACAGAGTGGGCGGGGAGGCCGCAGGGGAGAGGGCGACTCGAGGGGTCGCTAAAAAAAAACCGCGCCTCGGGGCGCGCTTCGGTGGGCCCAAAAAAAAAAATCGGTCCTGGAGGGACCTAGCTCTATACCATGTGAAACAAATGAGAAGAGGAATGAAATGACTAAGTCAGAAATTGGTACAAATAACAAACCCTAGGAATCTGTACCCCATATGTGCTACCCCACTACAGCCTACAAACATGTATCAGCTATAATGTTCTGACAGCGGGGCCGCAGCGTAAGGCGGCGGGGCCGCGACGTAGGGCGGCGGGGCTGCGACGTAGGGCGGCGAGGCCGCGACGTAGGGCGGCGAGGCCGCAGGAGTAGGGCGGCGGGGCCGCGATGTGGGGTGGCGGGGCCGCGACGTAGGGCGGCGGGGCCGCGACGTAGGGCGGCGGGGCCGCAGGAGTAGGGCGGCGGGGCCGCGACGTAGGGCAGCGGGGCCGCGACGTAGGGCGGCGGGGCCGCGACGTAGGACGGCGGGGCCGCAGGAGTAGGGCGGCGGGGCCGCTAGGGCGTAGGGGCCGCTAGGGCGGCTCGACGAGGTGAGAGCACGACTCGGGCGGAGCGCGCTTCGGGCAGGAAAAAAAAGATTCGAAGTGGTGGGCCCTAGGCACAGTTCCCACAGGGGAACCTGCTAGATACCATGTGGAAAGTAGAACGAGAATGAATGACTAAGGAATGGAAGTGATACAACTATGCAACCCTAGAAATGTGTACCCCATATAAGCTACCCCACTATAGCCTACAGAATATTATAATTTGACACTCGCCGCACCGATACTGTTCACACCGAAAAAAGACGGGGGTTTCCGCATGTGTATCGACTACAGAGCACTGAACAGGGTAACAGTCAAGTCGCGGTACCCCATTCCCCGCGCCGACAAACTGATCGACCAACTGTGAACAACACGAGTTTTTTCGAAAATAGATTTATGGGCAGTTTACCATCAGATTAGGGTCGAACCATCGGACTGCGCCAAAACAACTTTCCAGACTAGGAACAGGTCGTTCGAGTACATTGTGATGCCATTCGGGCTGACCAACGCACCGGCGACTTTTCAGATGACCATGAACGAGGCGTTTAGGCCGCTTTTAGATAAATGCATGATAGTTTACCTCGACGACATCCTCGTCTATAGTCGCGACAAGCAGCAGCACTTAGCAGATCTGGAAGCAGTATTTAAGGTTTTGGACGAGCATTGGCTACTGACAAAGGGTTCCAAGTGCGAGTTCTTTCCGGACGGGTTAGAGTTTTTAGGGCACGCTATTTCGGAGGCTGGGGTCGAAATTGATCCAAAGAAGTTAGACACGGTAAAAGCCTGGCATGTCAAAGTTTAGAAGAAAGAAGAGGATTGCACTAGCAAGAATGAGGATACAAATAGCAAACCCTAGAAGGGTTGTATTCGCTATAGAGTACCCCACTACAGGCTAGAGCATAATATTCTGACACACCCCCATAGCCGAAGTGGGGTGTAATCATCAGAGCAAGCAAAGCAGTACAAGCTCAGGGTGGATCACAATGTCACCACACATTCTGAGCACAAGTTCAAGAAGCAATAGTTTAAGTTCACAATTATGAGCAAAGCTAGGGGCTATCGCATAGGGCAAGTGAGGAGGAGGAGAGAGAGTGAGAGGAGAGGAGATAGGAGGCGACGGCTGAAGCCGCAGACACACGGGCAATAGGAGGCACACTGGCACAGTGGCTACCAGAACAACGCTCCGGAATACTGGAGTAACTGGCCCCGCGGCTAAAGTAGCGGCAGACGAGCAACGGACCCACGGGCGACTGGCACAGCTGGCTACGACTGGGCTACCGGAGCAACTCCCCGGAATATAGGTGCTGCTGGCGACACGACGGCAACCTCCATTCAGCTTCCCCAAACGATCCCACTCCCCCTGACACACACCCGCTGCTACACCCCTAGCTCCACTCCCACCCCACCCCCTAGCACCACTCCATCGAATCCCACACACCCACCCCCCTCAGCGGTAGCTGCAGCAGTGGGAGACAGATGAGGAGGAGGAGCAGGGGAGACCACACACCCGCCACCCCCCAGGTCGCGGCCCCCGAAGGAGCCGCGACGGGCGACGGGAAAAGGGGGGGGGGGGGGGGGGGTGGGGGGAGGCGGTGCCGTAGGTAGGGCGTCGGGGCCGGGCCGTAGGTAGGGCGACGGGGCCGGGGCCGAGGTGCAGGTAGGGCGACGGGGCCGCAGGTAGGCCGGCGGGATGACGGGGCCGCAGGTAGGGCGGCGGGACGACGGGGCCGCTGGCGGCGGTTCCGGGCCGATAGGAGCGGCGACGGAGGGCGACGCGCGGGCCCCCCCTCGTTGCCCGTCGCAGCGCCTCCCGTGGGCGACGCGCCGAGTGACGGGGCAGAAACCCGTCGCGCGCCTCGGGGCGCACGGCGGGCAGAAACCCGTCGCGCGCCTCGGGGCGCCCGGCGGGCAGAGAACCGCCGCGCGCCTCGTGGCGCACGGCGGGAAGAAAAAACTGCCGCACGCCACTGGGCGTGCGGCACAGAGAGTAGCAATAGCAGTTGCAGCGGAAGCAACGAGGTGGTGAGCCCACCCACAGGATCAATCCAAGGGGATCAACCTGCTCTGATAGCATGTCGAAAGACTAGCTTGGTAGGTAGGTGAAAGTGTAGGACGGCCTAGGCTTAGTAACCTTTTCCAACTCTCACCCTTGGCACGAACTACTCGAACTCGTTGTGGTGGGCCCTAGGCACAGTTCCCACGGGGGAACCTGCTCAGATACCATGTCAAAGTTTAGAAGAAAGAAGAGGATTGCACTTGCAAGAATGAGGATACAAATAGCAAACCCTAGAACGGTTGTACTCGCTATAGAGCACCCCACTACAAGCTAGAGCATAATATTCTGACATGGCACCCCCCGACGAATATTTCGGAACTGCAGAGTTTCTTAGGGTTCGTCAACTACGTGCGTTGGTTCGTCCCCGACATGGCACGGTTGACGGCGCCACTAACGGACTTGTTACGGAAGGGGGTCACTTTTACGTGGGGGGAGAAAGAGCATGCTGCCTTCTCTGCCCTGAAAACTGTTCTCTGTTCACCGCCCGTCCTGCGCATCGTTGACCCACACCGCCCATTCGAAGTAGTTACTGACGCCAGCGACATCGCCATCGGAGGCGTACTGCTACAGGACTTCGACAACGGCCTACAGCCCATCGCATACGAGTCACGAAAACTGCATCCGACCGAGAAAAATTACCCGATACACGACCGCGAAACGCTTGCGATCGTGCACGCGTTCAAAGTGTGGCGCTGTTACTTGACCGGCGCAGACGTGTCAGTACGGACAGACCATAAATCATTACAGTACCTCCGCGCACAGCCACACCTCAACCCACGACAGATTCGTTGGCTCGACTTTCCTCGAGTCAGATTTTCACTACACGGTCACCTACAAAAAGGGAGCCTCGAACATCGCCGACGCACTGACCCGCCCCACTGCCCAGATCCACACAATACTACTAGCTCACACAAGCCCACTACTGACATGCCTATTTACCCACGGGTACCAAACGGACCCATTCTTCACAGGAGGAAATTCGCAGTAGTTCGCAGCAGCAAGGGGAGTCTATTACGTAAAAGCCGGGACCGACCGCATTTGGGTGCCTGGGTATACACTGCTACGGGAATTACTCTTACAGGAGGCACACGACGGAGTTACCTCGGGGCATTTCGGAGTAGAAAAAACACGGCAGCAGCTGCAGCGGTACTATTACTGGCACGAAATGTTGACCGACGTACAACGACACGTGGCATCGTGTCCCACTTGCCAGCTCATGAAATCATCACGGAAGCGGCCGGCAGGACAGTTGCAGCCGATACCACCCCAAGAGCGTGCTTGGTAGCAGGTGACGATGGACTTCGTCACGGAGTTACCGGCCGGGGCTGTCAAAGAGAGTTGTGTGTTGGCCCCGTCCACGCTTGGGCGGAGCCGACTTTGTGGTGGGGTGTACGGAAGGTACAGCCGACTTGCAG